CTGCAGGTGTCGCTGAGCGAAACCGGGGCGACTTTCGCTCCGACGCCTTCCTCATCGTTCGTCCAGTTAGAAAGCTTCAGCTCGAGTGGCTCGTTGTTCTTGGTCAGCACCCAAGCCACCGTCGGATCGAGACGATCGACCAGCTCAGCACTTCCGGCGTAGCCACCTTCGGAGAAGTAGATGCGAGCCTGTGCCTGCGAGGCGTCGCTGGAGTCGACATCGACCCAAAGAAAATGGGCGTTTGCCGCCGGAACCACGACGGCAACAACCGCCAGAACAAACATCTTGGCCAACGTCTTCATCAACTAACTCCTGAACTATTCTGTTTCGGGTGGATCACTTGTGAGTTTGAATTTGAACGGATTGTTCTCAGGCGTGGTAGTCTCAAAACCCAATCTTCAAGAGTTATTTGCCTGAGGCTACTGTCTTGATCAGTTGGAAACTCTTCCTCAAAAAGCTCGCCCAAAAAACCCTATCTATGCGACGGCCTTTCGATTCTGACTTAGCAGCACCAAAGCTAACAACACCTTCAAGTTGGGCTTCCGTTCCTGAGGGTTCGGCCTCGAATCATTCGAAGCGTAGCCGAGTCAACGGGAGGCTGCCGGATCGCCGCAAGAGGCGGAAAGATCAATTGCCAGCCGTTCGCGACTTAGTCCATCTTTCAAGGTCAGCGTTCGATTGACTACTGCGATCCACCGCAATGCCATACCACCGCACGCAGCTCAGGTGAGCAGTTCGGAGCCCGACACACGCGTCGTCGAGTGTGCATAAGCGCATCAAAACTGCGAAGCTCGGCTAGGTCTCGCACCCCCTCGCGCGACCGAAGGCGTTCAGCCCAGTTTAATATTGTCGGGCGACCCTAATGGGCAACGAAACTTAAGGAGGCGTAGTGGCTTGTGGCGTTCGATCGCAAGCAATCGATCTACTGCAGAACACGGTAATCCACCATGCTCCGACGGAAGCTTGTTGATATCATGTATCAATAAGATTCCACAGTGGCGATATTATCACACCTGAACCAGCCGTCAAGCAACCGCCCGCGGTTCTGGTCCTTAGAATCCGCAATAGGACCGCCGCGGAACCGGAAACCGTTTGCAACTCAGCGATATCTGACACCAGAAACGGGATGTCGACCGCAGCCACCATGTCGCCGGAGCGGCCCAAGACTAGAATCCCTAATAGACAGACACGGCTTGAGTTACGACCGCCTCAAACGTTAAGCGATGGCAAGGCCCAGCATTGTGAAACAAGACGGCAACCCCGAAAGCACACCGCCAAAGACCGTTGAGCCACGGCGAATCGCCGTCGTCGGTGGCGGAATCTCCGGCTTGGCGGCCGCGTATCGGGTGACGGAACTGGATCCTACGGCGAAAGTCCTGCTCTTCGAAGCGGCGGACCGGCTGGGCGGGGTGATCGAGACGTTTCGAGAAGGGCCGTTCTTGGTCGAGGCCGGAGCCGACAATTTCATCACCGACGTGCCTTGGGCGATCGACCTGTGTAGGCGTCTCGGGATCGAAGATCAGCTGCTGCGCACGAACGACCAATTTCGTCGGGCGGGGGTGGTTCATCGCGGTCGGCTGCAGCCCATTCCCGAGGGCTTTCTCATTATGGCCCCAAGTAAAGTTAGGCCGGTGCTCACCACGCCGATTCTCAGCCCCTGGGGCAAACTCCGTTTGGCTGCCGAGTACTTCGTTCCCCGCCGGGCCAATCCCCAGGACGACGAAAGCCTAGGCTCATTCGCCCGCCGACGATTTGGCCGCGAGACTTTCGAACGCCTGATCCAACCCCTGGTCGGCGGGATCTACACAGCCGACGCTGAAAAACTCAGCCTGAGGGCCACGCTCCCGCGGTTTCTGGATATGGAAGCCGAACATGGCAGCTTGATTCGGGCCTCGCGAAAGAAGAACAGCGCGGCCAAGGCCGCAGCCGACCGCTCCAGCAGCGGGAGCCGATACAGCATGTTCGTAGCACTCCGCAACGGCATGAGTGGCTTCGCCCAAGCCATAGCAGACCGGCTGCCTGCGGGAACCATGCGGCTGAACTCTCCAGTCGAGAGGGTCGAACCCACCGAAGACCAGCGGTGGTCGCTGAGCGTTGCGGGGGAGGAATCCCAAGAGGTTAAGGTCGATGGTGTGATCGTGGCCACGCCCGCTCACGTCGCCGCTCAGCAACTCGCACCCAAGCTGAATGAACTCAGCAGCCTGTTGGGCAAGATCCCTTATGCGGGTGCGGCTGTGATTGCGATGGGGTTTCGTCGCGATCAGATCAAGCATCCGCTCAACGGGTTCGGCTTCGTTGTGCCCTTAGCCGAAGGGCGGAAGATCCTCTCGGCCAGCTTCTCGAGCATCAAATACGACGGTCGGGCCCCGGAAGATCACGTATTGATAAGAGTCTTCGTCGGCGGAGCCTGTCAGGCGGAGTTGCTTGAACAGGATGACGAGGCACTAATCGATCTGGCCATCGCTGAGCTGACCGAGTTGATTGGCCTCGAAGGTAAGCCCGTTATGAGTCGCGTTTGCCGATACTACCAAGCGATGCCGCAATATCACCTAGGGCATTTGCAACTCGTCGATGAGATCGAAGCACAGGTCGGTAAACATTTAGCCCTGGCCCTCGCCGGAAATGCGTACCGAGGGGTCGGCATCCCGCACTGTGTTCATAGTGGTGAACAAGCGGCCGAGCGGGTGTTTGCGGGTCTCAATACTCAAGCGAATAAAAGGTGACCCCAAGGCGATATCTGTAGGGCACGCCGTCCGTGGCATTCCGCGAACTGGCGTTGGGCTCGGAACGCCACAAAGGGCTTTCCCTAGAGAAGATGAACGAGTGCCATTGTGGTGATGCCTTGGATTCATACGGAGAAAAACACAGCCCGAGGCACGCGTGGTGCGCGCCCCGGGCTGGCTGGGTAGGCATCCTCTTACTTAAGCCGAGAGCAGGGTCTCGAGCTCCTTTGCCAATCGCTTCCGAGCGACGTGCAATCGCCGCTTGATCGTACCAACCGGCGAATCGAACGAATCGCTCATCTGGATCAGCGACTGACCTTCGACGTAGAACGCCACAAGCGTATCCCGGTCCAGGTCGCCCAGGCGACGCAAACCGGCGTGAACCTGCGTTCGTCGCTCAGCTTCGAGCGCCAGGTTCAACGGCGTGTCGCGTTCTACGCACGTGGCTTCGAGCACCTCCGGGTCGGCGCTGATTGCCGGCCGCGAACGTGCAGCTCGGTTGATCGCCATTCGCTGCGTGATAGACCGCAACCAACCACCGAACCGCAGCGGTTCGCGAAGCTGATCGATCTTCCGCAGTGCTTGAACGAACACTTCCTGCACCAACTCCTGCGCTTCGGCATCGTTGCCGAGCCGTCGCATGGCCGTTGCGTAGACCGATCGTTCGTAGCGTTCAACCAATTGACCGAAGGCCACTCGGTCGCCCTGCTGTGCATCTTCCACCAGCAAGCAGAGCTCCTGCTGCTCTTCGGTTAAATCGTTTTCCAGTTCAAGAACCACCATCTTTATCTCTCTCCAAATGATGGCCGCATCAAGAGATGTCAGCCTTGGTTTTGCTACGAAGAACCGGCGGACGTTGAAGACGCATACGCACGCGACTTCAGGCCGGGGCTTACCAGGCGACGCTTGAGGGTCGGGATCGAATTAGCCGGCCGAAGCCGGGGGTTGCGATCTCGCCGCTACCCTATGCGGGTTCGCGTCGCTCGAGGCGTAGGCCGCCACGCCGGACAGGTCGCCGGACATGCGGTCAGGCCTAAGCCTGGTAGCTGCAGGCGACTTCCGGCGGCAGCGGCGAGTTCTTGCATCGCCATGCCGGTGGTAATCGCCTGGCCGCGCATATACGCAATGAGATGCGCAAAGGCTTCAGCATGCGAATCCACATTGCGGCTCACGACGACGCGTACTTTGCGATTAACAAAGACGACGGATTTCGTGAACGTGTGGAGTGACTTACGCATTGCTGTCCCCTTGCGCCCGAAGCGCGGCTGGAGAGAAACAGAAAACAAAAAAGATCACCGGCACTTCCATAGAAAGCCGGAACCTCTTCAGCGTGACACGACCTGCTCGCAAGGTCAAGCTAAATGGAGCAAGGACGGGAAACACCATTAGTGCAATCGGCATACCACGCGGCAGCCGTTGCCCCTATAGACGCTCCATCGGCAAAAAGGTTCACAACCCCACCGGAATTTTTCCAAACCACCGTTACAACAGGTCTTTCGGCGGGGGGCTCGGTGTCTGGGAAGTACCCATGAATCCAAAAGCCGACTTTCGACCAACCCATCCAGGGGGGATTCTTCGACTTTATCTGGCTCAGGATGAGGTCGGAACCCAACGCTAGCACTTCGGGTGGATTACTTCACTAACTTCTACTGCGGCCTGCGTCTGCCTAGGCGGGTCACCAGGGCGTCGCGAACGCCTCCGCCGGACACCGAGAAGCTGGCATTCAAAACCTTTGGCCCCAAGTGAGAAAGGCAGTGAAACCGCAAGCGGTGCGGAGTTCTATCTTCCGTTCTCGATTCACATCTCTTTCGTTGTTTCAAAAACAATGGTTGGAGCGACTCGACAGCCTTCAAGGAAGTCGGCAATTCGCCGATCGATTACGCCGCTGGCAGAGACAAGCAGGAAAGACTGTTCGAACGTTGAAGCCGGGAGTGTATGTCGCTTGTGGTTGACGGTGTCGCCAGCGCATGACGCTGATGCGGTGCGGCCGCTTCGTAATACAACTGTTTTGCGATGATTTGGCTGCTTTTCGAGATCAACAAAGGACTGGCACGCATCTTGCTAATACGATCGACAGTCTAACACGGAGGTAATTTCTCAACCTCTGGGAGTATCTGTCATGTCGACTCAACTTTCGAAAAAGCCCTATCAATCTCACCCTGCTGATGGTTTCGATTCGCTCTCGCCAAAAGAGCAATTGGCGGGAACCCTGTTCGTCGTAGCGTTCCTGTTGTTAGCGGTACTGTTGCGGTCGCTGTGAGCGAAGCCTCCGTTACAATGTCCCGCATGGTCAACGAACTCCAATCCCCCGATCCAGAACACCGTCATCTCAATAGCGAAGTCTTTCGTGCGATCGCCGACTACACCTACGACTGGGAAAGTTGGCACGCTCCGGATGGCAGGTTGTTATGGGTTAATACCGCAGTCGAGCGGATAACGGGCTACCGTCCAGACGAATGCCTGGCGATGAGCGACTACCCATTGCCACTGGTCGCCGAGGGTGATCGTGAGCGGATCGCCGAGGTGCTGGCCGATGCGCTAAAGGGCGGAAGCGGCAATGATGTCGAATTCCAACTAGTTCATCGAAATGGTTCAACGAAATGGGGAGCCGTTTCATGGCAGCCGATCTACGACGACTCGAAACAGCACCTCGGATTTCGCGGTAGCGTGCGCGATGTGACGGAACGTCATCTGCTGCGTGAGGAGCTCCGGCTGCACAATCAGCATCTCGAGCAACTGGTTCAAGAGCGGACTGCAAAGATCGCCCAGTTGGAAGAACAGCGACTGAAGATGGAGAAACTCGCAGCCCTGGGCCAAATGGCCGCGGGAGTTGCCCACGAAGTAAACAATCCCCTGGCCGGAATTCGTAATGCCTTCACCCTTTTTAAGGGGAGCGTACGGCCAGATGAGGAGAATTACGAATTACTTGATCTGATCGATGCCGAGATCGAACGAATTAGTTCGATCACGCATCAGATGTACCTACTGTATCGTCCGAGCCAGCAGGCTCCGTCGCAATTCGACCTTCGCCATACGGTGGAAGACACTATTGTCCTGGCACAACCGCTGGCAACCAAAGCAGACGTCTGGGTAACTAGTCAAGCCAAGCACTGCATTGGTAGTGCAGGGCTTGGACCTACAGAGGTGCTGTTGCGAGAAGGTGAGTTGAAACAGATCTTGTTGAATGTGATCCGAAATGCAATTCAAGCCTCGCCCATCGGAGGATCGGTCGCCATCGACATTTCGACTTCGCCAAACGAAGCAATCGTGGCAGTCATGGACGAAGGCAAAGGTATATCTGAGGAGCTAGCGGAGAGGATCTTCGAGCCATTCTTTAGCACCAAGACCGGCACACGCGAAGGCATGGGTCTCGGTTTGTCGGTGTCCCGAAGCCTCGCGGAGGCAATGGGCGGGACGATTACGATTGAAAACAACAAAAAAGGGAAGGGTGCCTGCGTAACGGTTTCCGTACCCCGCAGGATTCTTTCCAATGGCTGAAGGTCGCGCAAGAATCCTCATCGCCGACGATGAACCGCTCTATCTACGGACAACCAGCAAGTTGCTCCGCAAGGCGGGCTACGATTGCGTGGGTGTTGCCGACGCAGACACTGCTTTGCAAAAACTGCGAGAGGAAAAGTTCGATCTCATCCTGTCAGATCTGAATATGCCAGGTAATCTGAAGCTCGAATTACTTCAGCGGGGGCGTAGCGATTATCCCCACATTCCATTGATCGTCATCACGGGGGTTCCCTCGTTGCCGACGGCGATAGAGGGCCTGCGACTGGGAATCGCTGACTATCTGCTGAAGCCGGTGAAGTACGAAGACTTGATCGCCAGCATCCGTCGTGTGCTCGCGAAACCAGCGTTGCAGCAAAGCGCCGACGAACCTGCAGGCTCCATCAATGTCGACGATCCCGCTGCGAACTTTCCGGATATCGTGGCCCGTAGTAAACCAATGCTGGAACTACTGGAGATTGTAAGTCGGGTTGCACAGACCGACGCGAACGTGCTGATCACCGGTGAGAGCGGTACCGGTAAAGAATTGATCGCAAAGGCAGTTCATCGCCGCAGTCGCCGATCCGACCATAATTTTCAGGTCATCGACTGCACCGCAATTCCCGAGTCGTTGTTCGAATCAATAGTCTTCGGTCACGCAAAAGGGGCATTCACCGGTGCGGTGCGAGATCAGGAAGGTTTACTCAGCCTGAGCAATGGCGGGACAGCTTTTTTCGATGAAGTTGGCGAGCTGCCCCCAGCATCGCAGGCTAAACTGCTCCGCGCTGTTCAAGAGCAGGTGTTCACTCCTGTCGGCAAAAGCCAAGCAGTGCATGTCGATACTCGATACATCTGCGCTACAAACCGTGATCTGATGGAGGAGGTAAACGTCGGTCGTTTCCGCCAGGATTTGTTCTATCGTTTGGGGGTAATCCATGTGGAGTTACCACCCCTGCGAGCCCGACTCGATGATATCGAGCCACTGTCAAACCACTTCTTGAAAGTAATCCAAAAAGAAGATCGCCGCGTCGTTGGAATCTCAGACGAAGTGTTCGATTGCTTTCGCAAGTACGACTGGCCAGGAAACATACGCGAGTTGCGGAACGTAATTGAGAGAAGTATCGCGTTGACTCGCACAGATATCGTGCAACTTGAAGACTTGCCGAAGCCGGTGCTGGAAGCCACCAGTGGTCACACTGGCAATGTATCTGCCTTATCTGAAATCTCGCGCGAAGAGGCCCTCGACAACGCCGACCGCAGCTATCTGACAACCTTGCTGGAGAAATTCGAAGGCAACGTCGCACAGGCCGCTCGGCAAGCCGGCCTTTCCCGTCAGGGCATGCACAAGCTTTTGAACAAGCACGGGATCGATGCCTCGACGTTTCGCAGCTAGTTGCCCAGTATCGCGCAGCCCTCTTGGTTGAGTTCCTGCAAGCTTGCCGTACCAACGCGCGATGCCAGTTCTGCCTGGGGCTGATTTTGGAGTGTGTCCGACGCTGTCCACTGGCATCGTCCTGTGTCCACTAGGGTCGACACTCACGGTCTTACACTGCAGACGATCGACTGGGAGCCTCCGATACCATCATGATTTTCTGCGGATAAACGCCGTGATTCTTGCCGCCATGTCATAACACCGCGATGGCCCTGCGATTGGTCCACGCTTTGCATAGGCAGTTGCTCCGCTCGTTGTGTTTTGGCCAAGGACGCTATGGAACGTTCTCGGAAACACGCCGAGCTTCATCCTCATGATGAGTTCTAGAACAATCCCCAACGAAGCGGAGTGAGAAAGATGGCGGCCAAGGGATCCCTGATAATTACCAGGTACGATCACGAAAAGCTGGAAAACTTGTTTGGAAGTGAATTTGCACAAGCGTTCGCAGATAAACCGTACCTCCAATCGCTACGGGGGGAGCTTGAACAGGCAACAATCGTCGAGCCAGAGCAAGTTCCGTCCGACGTCGTGACGATGAACTCCGTGGTTCGTCTGCGTGAAGCTGGCAGTGACGCCGCCGACGTCTTTACGCTGGCTTATCCCGAGGAGGCGAACATTGCCGAGGGCAAGCTTTCTGTCCTGGCCCCAATCGGAACGGCAATTCTTGGCTCCCGGGTTGGTGACCTCATCCAGTGGCAAGTCCCCAGTGGGATCGCGCACTTCCTGATCGAAGCATTGGAGTTTCAGCCCGAGCGTGACGGCGTGATCTCTTGAGCGAGCACTCCATCGCCTCAAAATTCCAAAGGTGTTCCGCAATGGTATGCAAGCTCAGTTCTTGCCCCCAAAACGATCGCCAGAATATGCCCAGGATCTTTGGCCACGGTTCGCCACCCAAGCATGTGTTGGTAGGAAACCCGGGGCAAAACTACGATTTCGCTCACCCCGCTGGAATTCGATCCGGCGTGTGGTACGCTCTCGGGCTTGCTGATGCGTGTATTGTCTGCCTTCACCCAGAGGATGAGTTCCATGGCCAAGTCGTTCAAAAAGATGCTTGCTGAAGGACAATTTGTCCGTGCGTTTTCCATGGGACGGGTCATTCATCCGGTGATGATCGATATGTTCGGGCTCGCCGGGGGATACGACGGGTTTTGGCTCGATCAGGAGCATGGCGGGCTGACTTATGATCAGATCAACCTGGCTTCGGTTTGTGCCCGGGCGAATAACTTCGATTGCTTCGTCCGGATGGCCACCACGAGCTACTCGCTGGTCACACAGAACTTCGAAGCTGGGGCCGGTGGGGTGATGGCTGCCCAAATCAACTCGGCGGCCGACGCCGAGGAGTTCGTCCAATGGGCCAAGTTCGCCCCGCGGGGAATGCGAGGGATGAACACCAGCGGCTGGGATGCACTTTATACCCATAAGCCGCCCAAGGAGTTCGCCGTCGAAGCCAACAACGATCACCTGGTGGCGGTGCAAATCGAAACGCTGGGAGCCCTGAAGGAAGTCGACGAGATCGCCGCCATCGATGGGATCGATATGCTGTTTGTCGGCCCGGCCGATCTTTCGCAGTCGATGGGCCACGTGGGTCAGCTCGAGCACGACGAAGTGTGGCAGGCCATCGACTCGGTTTACGCGGCTTGCAAGAAGCACGGCAAGAACTGGGGAACGATCTCGGTGAATCCCGATTTCGCCAGTCGGGCCGTGGAGAAGGGCTGCAAGCTGATGATCTTCGGCGGCGACGTGCTGTGCCAGAAGCTCGGGATCGAGGCGGTCAAAAAAGCCTACGCTCCCCAATTCGCCGACTAAACACGAGAAGCCCAAGATCGCGTCCACCCAGCTTGACCGCTGCCGGGGGCGCACTTAGTTTGGAAATCGGTGGGTTGTGCTTCGTCGGATTGTGGCCCACGTTCCATTTCAACCTCGGCCGCAGTGAAGGCAAACGCCCCGATGTGGGACCGCTTCAAACAGTTGATGTCTCGTCCGGTGAGCGGCGCGTCGTTGGGCTTCTTTCGACTGGCCTTCGGCGCGGTGATGATCTACGAGGGGCTGTATTACCTCGGCTTCACCTGGAACAACCCCTCGCCCACGAACTACATCGATTCGTTCTACACCGGCGATCACATCGCCTGGAACATTCCTTACCCGGGCTTCTCCTGGGTTAAGCCACTTCCTGAACCACTGATGACGGCCCTGTTCGTGGCATTCACCATCGCCGCACTGCTGGTCACCGCGGGGGTGCTCTATCGCCTGGCCATCGTGGGCGTGTTTCTGATGTTCAGCTACATCAACCTGATGGACGCCTGGACGTATCTGAATCACCACTATCTGGCTTGCATCATCGCCATGCTGCTCATCTTCATGGCGGCCGATCGCAGATTCGCGTTGGGGCGCATCCTGCAGCATGCTTCTGGCCGTGTACGGAAGAGCGAAGTCCCTTTTTGGAATATCTTCCTGCTACGGGGGCAGATGTTCATTGTTTACTTCTATGCGGGCATCGCGAAGCTGAACCCCGACTGGCTCGCCGGCGAACCCGTGCGAATGTGGCTGCAACAGCCGCGGACCTTAGTCAAACTCGAACCGTGGCTTTCGCCATCGTTGCTGCAGTCGCTGCGTTCGCTGCTCGCTCAGGAATACAGCATCTGGACCATCGTTTATGGGGGGATGCTCTTCGACCTGGTGATTGGCTTCTTGCTAATCTTTCGTCGCACCCGACTGTTCGGGTTTCTGCTGGTCCTGTGCTTCCACACGTTTAACAACTTCCAATTCAAGATCGGCGCTTTTCCCATTATGGCGGTCTGCTTGACCACGATTTTCTTCGAGCCCGATTGGCCCGACCGCTTGTGGAAGTGGGTTCAGTCTCCAAAGTTTTCCAAGCCCGATTTGGGTTGGCTGATCGGCGGAGCGATCGTGCTGCCCCCGCTGGGAGCCGCCCTGGGTTGGAAGTCTTCGCCCACGCCGAGCACAGAAGATCGTCGGATGCGCCTGGCACCCTGGACCGCGGGATTGATTGTCGCCTGGCTGGTGTTTCAAGGCGCTGTACCGCTACGGCACTTCCTGATCCCCGGCGATTCGAACTGGACCGAAGAAGGCTCGATGTTCAGTTGGCACATGATGCTGCGAAACAAGCAGTTGGGGCTATGTCGAATTGAAATTGTCGACCCAAAGCTGCCGAAGGTCGAAACCGAGGTTGGCATCATCGCCGATTGGCGGTTGCCCACCGATGACGAACCGCTGGTGCCGTATCGCCAGGTAACCTCTGGAGATGTGCCCTGGGAAGAATTGCCCGAGTTTTTGATCGTCGAAGAGCCCGTGCTCGGCGAAAGGATCATTTACAACCCGCTTTCGGCGGTACCTCGAGGCGATCCGGAAGAATATGTTCAGCGCCACTGGCAACGCGAGTATCGCCGCGAGGCGAATAAGCTAAGCAAAACCTATTCCGTGGCCCAGGTGCTCGATCTCTACGAGGAACTCGTCAAGAAGGCCGCCCCGAGTCGGAATCCGGCTCACGGTGCAGCCCAGTTACGGGGCATCGAAGTGGCCCGCGAGCTGGACATTCGCCGCCGCGATCCGAAGCTTACCCAACTGGAACGGCTGGAATATGGCCGGAAGCTCCAAGAGGCGCTAGAAGCTCTGAAGAAAAACCCGACGTTCGGCGCGTCGTTCTTCACGCTTTTCTACGCTGCGGCGGCTCCCTTCGACGGGTTTGGAGACGGCAGCCGCAATACACCGTTCTACGTGGTCATGGACGGGGAATTGATCGAGCGAGGTCGTGGCACTCTGCCTGTGGTGAAACGCGATGCATGGCAGGGGTCGCCCTCGACGTTAATCGACCTGTGGTCCTACGGCCCCAGCGATTTCAACACACTACCGCGATGTCTCTCGTTTCACGACTTGAATGGCGAGCCGGCCGTGGTGTGGAACTACGGTCACGATCTGCACCTCTTCCAGGCAACCTTCGTTGCGCTCATGCCACCGTTCTTGCAACGCTATGTTCAACATCTGGCGAACACCTGGGAAGCGGATTATGGGCACCGCCCCGAAGTATTCGTGACGAACTATGTGAAGCTGAACCAGCATCCGATGCAGTTAATCGTCGACCCGGAGACTGATCTGGCCAGTACGGAACTCAATGTGTTCCGCCACAACCCCTGGATTCTTCAGTTAGAGCCGAACGAAGAATCCACCAGCCCCGATGTCTCGAACGCGGCTACAAGCCCTTAGCCTGTCTTGGCTGCCAGAGAAACCAACCCATTGCCCGACGGCCGGCTGCTTGTGTTACGATCGACTGTAGAACACGCTTTCGTCGATCTCAGGTGAGACTCTCTGCCAGGTGCCGGGTTCCGCACGCATGTTGCAATCGTTTCGAATGCTTCTCGGCCAACGCATCTCCGGTCTATCGTTGGCCGTGTTTCGCATCTGCCTGGGGCTGGTTCTGGCGTACGACGCCCTCCACTATCTGCGGCCCCGCGAGGGAATCGGCAACTTCCTCACGCTCGATTTCTCGCGAGAGAGCAACCCCTGGATGTTCCCCTATGCGGGCTTTGAATGGGTACAGCCGCTCCCGCAGCCTTGGCTCACGGGTGTGTTCGTCATCTACGAACTGTCCGCGGTGGCGATGGCCCTGGGGCTCTTCACGCGCGGCGCTTCGGCGGTCGTGTTTCTGAGCTACACGTACATCTTTCTGTTAGACGCCACGCGTTACAACAATCATTACTATCTCACGGTGCTCATCACCGCGATCATGATTGTAGCCCCCACGGCCACATGCCTCAGTGTCGATCGACTGATTCGCCGCCGACGTCTACGGGGCAGGGAGCCGGACGAGACGATTCCCTTCTGGCCCATCTTCTTGCTGCGTTTCCAATGGGCGATGGTCTACGTCTACGGCGCCGTCACAAAGACCACAGCCTCGTGGCTGCTGCATGCCCAGCCGCTGCAAACGTGGATCAATGAGCCCCGCATCGAAGCGGCTCTTGCTCGGTATCTTCCTGCCAGCACGGTCGAAGCCGTGTTGCCGGTGGTGCAATCAACCGCAATGGCCTACTTCCTCTCGTGGAGTGGGATGCTATTCGACCTGCTGGTCGTGCCGCTGTTGCTTATCCGCAGAACGCGTCTGCTCGCGTTGGCTCTCGCGCTTGGGTTTCACGCCACGAATCATTGGCTATTGTTCGACAACATTGGCTGGTTCCCCCCAATGGCGATGGCCGGCATCATGTTGTTTCTGGAACCCGATTGGCCGCGGCGGTTTGTCCTTTGGTTGAGGCGTCCGGTGGTTCATCGTCCCGATTGGGGATGGCTGGCGTTGGGAGTTGTTTGTCTGCCGCCGGTGGGGGCACTGCTCGGATGGAAACTCCCGCCGTCGTCTGAAGCTAGTGATCGCCCCGCTCGGCCGCTGGGGGCGTTGCCCCTTGCGTTAATTTGCCTGTGGGCCGCCGTGCAGCTTGTCGTGCCGCTGCGGCACTTCTTCATTCCCGGCAATGTCGACTGGACCGCGGAAGGAGCCCGCTTTAGCTGGCGCATGAAGGCCGGACAGAAGCAGGCCACGCGGATGGAGATCATCGTCGATCCGGGCACCACGCCCGATGGAGCACCCGCGAATATCGACTGGGATGCACTGCAAGTCCCCGAGCGCATCTATCGCGATGTCTCGAACCCGCAGAACAACTTCGCTGAGTTGCCCGAGCTGTTCGTCAACTTCCAGCCTTTCTACGGTGAACGGGTGATCTACAACCCGTTTCAAAGTGCCGGGGGTTCGCCACGCTCGCTGGATGAGGCTGCCCGCAGAGTGATGGCCTATTGGCAAACCACGTACGGTCGGCAACCAAAGGTGCATAAGACATTTCCTTTGGTCAATGTGCTGAAGGCGGTCGAGCTGCAACTCGACCCACAGCAAATCACCCCCGCCGACCAGCAACTGCTAGCCACTGCACAGCGGCTGGCCGCTGAATTGTCTGCTGAGGAAGCTACCGACGTCGAGTCTCGCCCGGCCCAGGTGGCCTCGCTGCGAGATCAACTCTTCCAGCTCATCACCTCCAGTAACCGACAACTTGGACAGCTCGTGCAAAAGGCCGTTGCTCAGGCACACCCGTTCGCCACCGAGGGAGCCACTGCCCCGCCGGGTCCGTTGCTAGTGGTTGACGATCCAGAGCTGTTCGAGCCGTTAACCGAACACGGCTACGCGACGCTTGACCGAACGAAGTGGAAGCCGCCCTCCGGGTCGATCGACACGGTGTATGCCGACATGGATTGGATGACGCAGCGGGAGTGGCCGGCCTTTCCATTATTAGTACTGCAGGTAAATCCCGAAGGGACGAGTCGACTGATTTGGAATCAGTACGCCGACCTGAGGCTGCACCAAACGCGGATCATGGTGGCCCATCCGTTTATGTGCCATCAGTATGCCCAGCGAATCGCCCAGTGGTGGGAAGATCGCGTTGGCTCACGGCCTCACGTCTATATGAACCTGAGTGCCGAGCTGCTGCCCTACGAACTTCAGCCCGTGCTCGATCCAAGCATTGATATGGCCGCCGCTCCGCTGAAGGCTCTTTCACACAACGCGTGGATCAACCAGCTAGAAGCTGAGGTGTCAGAAGAGCGTCCGAACTCGGAATTGCCATCTCAGAGTAATGACCGGCAGCAATAGTAATACTGTCTACTCACCCTCGCGGCTGTAGAACACGGTCTCGGTGTTGTCCCTGAGCACTTGGGTTCCGAACGCCACGGCTCGTTCTTCGCTCCACCCGCGATCGATGACGAAACGTTCGGCCAGCACTTTCGCCAGGATTCGCTTGTACATCGCGAACTTCGGCAGCGCGAACTCGAGCTTGTACATGTCGCTGTAGTAGCCTATCTGCTTCGTGCGGGGCACAGCTTCCAACCGTGCGGAGAGGTCGTACTCGATGAACGTGGGCGTGTTCGAGTACCACCAATGCCCGTTGGTTAGGACATTGGGAAAGATCCAACTGTAGCTAGTTAACTCTTGATTGGTGACGCTGGCCAACACCGAAAGCGGGAAGGTGACCTGCGGGAAAGCATTGAACAATCGCCGGTATTGAATAAGCGAAACGCGGCTGTCGTAGAGGTCTTGCCCCTGGAACACGCCGCCAGGGTAAACCGCGCGATTCACGCCAATCATCAGGTCGAACGGCAAGCCGTACTCGGCGCACAATTCGGCCAGCATCCAGAACACCGCCTGGCTGCATTCCCGCAACCGTGGAGCATCGGCTTGCGTTCCGGCGGCCAGAACGCCTTGCAGGGCCGTTTCTGCGGAGGCCGCTTCAACGGGCATCGGTTCGAAGTCGGGCGGAAGTGAGATCGCACAAGCGCGGGCGCCTCGATTGAAGAAGTGCTCGAAGCGGGCCGCGATGGCGGATCGCAGCGAGGCGACATCTTTAATAGCGACTCCGGAGGAGGATTCAAGGCGCTCGCGGACTTCCTTACGACCCAGGTGAAACACCAAATCGTCGGTACGCAGGCAGGGCACATAGACTTCAGGATCGAATCCGGCCAGTTCGTCGTCGAAATCGTTGGTTAGGAAGACCCCGCGGAGCTTGCTGCGACGCAACACCTCACTCGACCAGTCGGGCTGCGACATGGTCTTTGCACTACTGTCGTACACCGCTTCCCAATTGTCGGCCGTCAGCGTGTCGCCCTCGAAGCCAAAGAACGTCTGCAGCATTTCGATGAGCCAACTGTATTGGACCGTATTCTCCAGCGGGCCCAACCCGGCCACGATGCGGGAGACCTTTTCTTTAGGTTCCAAGCCCGGCTCTTCGATGTACTCGCGCGGTACTCCGGCAGAATGGGCAAGCTCAGTGTAATAGTGGTAGCCCAAGATGTCGGCCAACGTGTTCGCGGCTGGCTGATGCGGGTTGATGTGTGTATGCGGATCGACGATTTCGAGACCGTCGAGGACATTGAACAATCGTTGTCGGAGTTCTTGCGACACGTACTGAATTCCTTAAGGGATATGTCTTAACAGTTAGTCGATGTAAGTCGGGCGGCTCTGAGCTGAAACTCTGTTAGAAATGCCAAAGAGCTGGTCATTCAACTAAGCTGCCGACTTCGGCGGTGTGTATAGCAAAAAACCGAGCTCGTTTCAGTGCGGTGAGCCCAATCGCACTCTTCCGTGCATCACAGGGCGACTCATCAGACGCTCCGAGAAGGCTGACAAAGTACAACGGCCCAAAAAGAGCGGTAAGGAAACCATGCTCATGGGGGTTATTGCACCCCGTCCATGGGTTGATTTCCTGACGGATTTAGGTCATCAGATCCGCCAAAATTAGTTCTTTTTCTTGCGGCGATCGCCCTTCCGTCAATTCGGGGGTGCCCAGATACCGAAATTCGGTCAGATTTTTCCCTGATCCGGCACACACAAACTGGGGCGGCGAAAACTCGAAAATCCCAGGAAACGCCGGTTTTAGCCCCTTTTTTTAGCTTTGCGGCAATTGCCCAGATAATTCAAATAATTTTCTTGACACAGTCTGTGTTTCTGCGAGACTATGCCAACAAGTAGTCTGGTATCTCTGGAGAGGGAAACCGGTGTCGTTGCGCCCAACGAACTTCCTTCTTCACGAGAGTTTGGGGTAACGAAAACCACTGTACATGCCGGCCATTTGCGAGTTTCGGGTGGTGTCTCACCCGGCTGAGCAATGGCAAGTCGCGGTAGAAAATGAGGAGCCGCTAATGACGTCACTTCGTAGAGTTTTATTCACCTCAGCATGCGCTGCTTTGGTATTGGCCTCGCAGGCCAAGGCGGCCACGGTCAATCGAACCGTGACCTTTGATCCAGGCAGCTCTGGAACCTTCTTCTCGGCCGACCTTAACGGCTCCGGCACCTTGATTATGAGCGCCAACGCTCAGATTAGTCTCTCGCTCGGTTCGGTGCTCAGCATCAGCCCGACCCTGACGGTCCCGTCCCAGACGTTCAATTTCAACGAATCCGCTACGCTCACTAGCGATCCTACTGGGAACATGACCCTGCAACTGCCTGATACCCCCGAAACTTTCGGTGGTACGTACCCGAATTTGGCCGGAGCCCTGACCGAAGCCGACATTCCCCAATTGGATGTCACCCTGGTTGGCTCCAGCGGCATCAACATTTTGAACCTCAGTGAGACCCTCACCGGTAGCACCACGGTCGACATTCTTGGTATCACCGATCTCGATTTCCCCGTAACGGCCGATCTGGACGTCACCGGTATCTTGAAGAATGTGATCTACAGCCAAGTTGGTAATGCTCTGATTGGTCCCGGCAACGTCACCAACCCCAATGGACCGGCTCCTGGTAGCCCTCCTGGAAGCATCACCACGGCGTATGAAATTCCGGGTCCAGCCACCGGTGGTGTGGTCTCTGGTGGTAGCGCCTCGTTGGGTGCCGAAGCCATTGTCGGTGGTGACATCACGATCGACCTCGGAATCTTCGGTTCGTTCAACCAAGGCCTCAGCCCGACTTCAGTCGTCGACGAGACGGTTCCGGTCGATCTGTTCGCGCTGCTGTTCGACATGTACCTGACCGACCTAGAGCCGCTGCTGTTCGGTGGCCCCCGCGACATCAACGTCGACATCGACGGTAATTTCGACTTGGCAGGTCCGCTGAGCTTCGATTTTGATGACAGCGGTAACGTTGCCATTCCGACCACCAACTTCAGCACTCCGGTGAACCTGGGTGTCTTCGGAAATGTGACGATCGATGGTACCGTCACTGGAACGTTGAACTACGTACTGGACACCGACATTACGCTTTCCAACCTGCAATACGGCTTGGAAGACGAAGTGGTTGCGGACGTGCTCGTTCCGGAACCCAGCAGCATCATGCTGGTCGTCATGGGCTTGGTTGCCCTGATGCCCGTCGTGGCACGTCGTCGTAAGAACAGCTAACGACGATCAACCAGAGCTACAGTGGTTTTCACGCGGCCGGCTTTCCTGCAAAGGAGAGCCGGCCGTTTTTTGTTTACGACGGTCCGGCCAAGGATAGTCGAGCGGCGAAAACAATCCGCAACTGCGAGAAGCTAGTTCGGCTTCGGGGCCAGCAGCGAAGACAGATACTCCCCGGTGCGGCTCTCCGGGTGAGCAGCAATCTCTTCTGGGGTACCCTCGGCCACGACGGTGCCTCCCCCGACTCCACCCTCGGGCCCAATGTCGATCACCCAGTCGGCACACTTAATCACGTCGAGGTGATGTTCGACCACAACCACCGTGTTGCCCAGGTCAACGAGGCCCTGGAGCACGTTCAGTAGCCGGCGAATGTCATCCAGATGCAACCCGGTGGTGGGCTCATCCAGAATGTAAAGCGTGGTCCCCGTGCTGGCCCGACCCAATTCGGTCGCCAACTTGATCCGCTGAGCCTCTCCGCCAGAGAGCGTGGTGGAAGCCTGGCCAAGTGCCAGGTAGCCCAACCCCACTTCGTCCAAACTCTGCAGCATGCGGGCGATCGTCGGAAAGTTCTCGAAGAACTGCACCGCATCCTCGATGGCCATATCCAGCACATCGGCGATCGTGTGCCCTCGGTAGCGAATCTCAAGCGTCTGCCGATTGAAGCGCGCGCCCGAGCAGTCGGGGCAGGGCACATGCAAGTCGGGCAAGAAGTTCATTTCGATCTTCTGCACTCCTTGGCCCTGGCAGGTTTCGCAGCGACCACCTTTCACGTTGAAGCTGAAACGCCCGGACTTGTATCCGCGCAGTTTCGCATCGCGGGTGCCAGCGAATACCGTGCGGATCTCGTCGAACACGCCGGAGTAAGTGGCCGGGTTACTGCGAGGCGTTCGACCAATGGGCGATTGATCGATCTCGATCAACTTATCGATCAGGCTCACCCCGCGAAGGCTGGTATGAGGTCCCGGCTTGGGGGCCGCCAGCCCCAACTTGCGGGCGACTGCTCGCGAGAGCGTTTCGTTCACCAGAGAACTCTTCCCAGAGCCGCTGACCCCAGTGACACAAACCAGGGCCCCCAGCGGGAAGCGGGCTTCGACATTCTTCAAGTTGTTCGTGGTCACCCCCTCCAGCATGATCGACCTACGGCGGGAAGTGCGTCGTCGGGTCTGGGGAACATCGATGTGCAATTGGGCCGCAAGATACTGGCCTGTCTTCGAAGTTTCGCACGCACGAACCACGTCGGGCGTGCCGGCCACAACGATCTGCCCCCCGTGATGCCCGGCCCCCGGACCGAGATCGACTAGATAGTCGGCCTGGGCCATCATCGCTTCGTCATGTTCCACCACCAACACCGAGTTCCCCTGCTGCTGCAGATCACGCAGGGCGGTAATCAGTCGATCGTTGTCTCTTTGGTGCAGACCAATCGAAGGTTCATCCAGCACATAGCACACGCCCACCAGCCCTGAACCGATGCTGGCTGCCAGGCGAATCCGCTGCGACTCCCCGCCGCTGAGCGTAGCCGCCCCACGCTCGAGCGTTAAATATCCCAGACCGACCTGCTGCATAAAACTCAGCCGCCCACGGATTTCGGCCAACAGGGGGCGGGCCACCAGCGTCAGTCGCTCGGGCACTTCGATCTTTTCGAAGGCCTCAACCGCGTCGTCAACCGGAAGGGCCGTCAGCTCGTGAATCGCGTGCCCATCAATCCGCACCGCACGGGCCTCCGCGCGAAGTCGGGCTCCTCCGCAAGCGGCACAAACAACCTCGCCCCGATACGCGTCGAGCTTCTCTCGCACCGACTCACGACGGGCTTTTTCGTGCTCTTCCTCCAACATGATCAGCACGCCAGGGAACTGCTTTCCGTCGCCGTGCATCAACTGTTCGAAGGTCGACTCCTTCAACTCGGCCAGCGGAGTATCCCAATCGAAGCGGGCCCGCTCAATGAATGGTTGAAGCTCTTTTTTTCGCCGCTCGACGGCTTTGCCAGTTGTTCCCTTCCATGGGGCGATCGCGCCACCTTCCAGCGAAAGATCACGGTTCGGCACCACCAACTCGGGGTCGAACTCCTCGCGAACGCCCAACCCTTCGCAACTCGGGCAGGCCCCATAAGGGCTGTTGAAGCTGAAGCTCCGCGGTTCGATCTCTTCGAAGCTGGCTCGGCAATTCGGGCAGGCGTACTCGGTGCTGAAAAGCCGATCGCGCCACACGGGGCCGTTTTCACCTTCCGTGTCTTGGTAGCACACCACCACTGTGCCGCCGGAGTGTCGCACGGCCAACTGAATCGACTCGGCCACGCGTGAACGAGCCGCCGGGCGAATCACAATCCGATCAACCACCGCTTCGATATCGTGCTTCTTCTGCCGCACCAGTTCCGGCAAGTGCTCGATGTCGTGCACTTGGCCGTCGATGCGAGCGCGAACGAACCCGTTCTTGCGGATCGAGTCGAGGGCGTCTTTGTGCATGCCTTTGCGCCCGCGAACGATGGGGGCCATGATCATGGCTTTGGTCCCCTCGGGCAGTTCCAGCAGTTCTTCCAGAATCTGCTCGGGGTGCTGCTGCTGAATGGGGGCGTCGCACTCGGGGCAGTGGGGCTGCCCCACTCGGGCCATCAACAGGCGGAGATAGTCGTAAATCTCCGTCACCGTGGCCACGGTGCTGCGTGGGTTGTGGCTGCCTGAACGCTGATCGATGCAGACCGTCGGCTGCAGCCCGTCGATCTGGTCGACATCGGGCCGTTCCATCTGGCTGAGGAACTGACGGGCGTACGTCGAGAGGCTCTCGATGTATTGACGCTGGCCCTCGGCATAGATGGTGTCGAATGCCAGCGAGCTTTTACCCGATCCGCTTAACCCGGTAAGCACGACCATCTTATCGCGAGGGATATCAAGATCGACGTTCTTCAGGTTATGCACCCGGGCTCCGCGGATCCGCAGCCATTCGTCCGATGGCTCGCCCCCGTTCAGATTTTGCCCGTTTGTGTGTTGCACCCGGTAGCCTTTGTGCGCTGGGGTTAAAGGAACCCGTCTTATCGCAACCCACCCTATCAACGCGGTGGGCCGAATTCGAAATACCGCGAAGCTACCAGAGGGCCCGACCGCTGGCAACGTAGTGCCCATAGCGGCCGACTCGGGAACTTCGCAGGGAAAGCCAAGGCGCAGGGAGCGCGGGACGACTGCGTTTTCAATCGATCCGTTTTACACCAGCGAAGGAGGGCCCCGGGGCACTTCGCACCATTCGCCGTAGAGCGTGCCCCCCAGGTGAGATCCTGTTTTATTTCGTTGCGAATTGTTCCACGAGCCGTTCAAATTTGGGCGCGTCGAGAACTCGGCAGGCAGTCGGGGG